GCCCCTTCGCGCGCCTCCGCGCGCTGATCCCGAGGCGCCGCTGGGCTCCGACAGTTTCCTGCGCGCGCCTCCCCGCTGTGGGGCTCCGCGCACCTCCCCTGCTGCTTGGTTGGGCAATGGTACGTTTTCCTCAGTTTGATTTCAGCGACAACGAAATGCACCACGAGGGCCTCGAAACTGGGCACAGAGGCCGTAAGATAGGGTGGAAGGGCTGTTACTAAGATTTTAAAACATCTCCAGCACCTGGTTAATAACAACAAGCACGTGTCTTCCCCTGGTGGACCTGTGTTCTGGTCCCGACTGTCCCCTTCCGTCGAGCTTGGTGGATGGATGATGGATGGGGACTGGCTGTGGGGCTCTGGTTGGGTGGGTGGGAAGAGATGGACGCAGGGAGCAGGAAACATGTTTGACCTTTAGGTGTCAATGTGCCCAGTGGAGGGAGGGTAAGGAGGCAGAGGGGGCCAGGCCAACTGTAGCTCCCAGGCTGTAAGGACCATGAGAGCAGGTCCACCTCTCATCCTCATTGCCTTCCCTTCCAAATCAAAAGCTCTCCACACAAAGAAAAAAGCTAACCCAGTTAAAATTTTAAAATGCCACGCAGCATTAATAGATGCTGAAGAAGATGTTGAGTGGCAAACAGTTGTAGGCTATCACCAGTTCAGTTAGGCTGAGAATCTTTGCCCGTCCGTAAATCTACTAAATGAATAGTTGATGTAGACTGGAAAAAAAGAATGATTCCTACAGAGGTTTTTTAAAAGCTTTTTTTTGTTTTGGCCCCATTCTTATAGCCATTGATTCTAACCCACTCTCTAACTCAAACTCAGAAAATGAAACATTTTAAGGAATTAATTTTAAAGGATTATATAAGCAAAAGATGGACATAAAATGAAAAAAAAAAAATGTTTCTTTGGTAACCTTGTTTCCACACATATGTCAGTGTTAAAATATAGACAATAATATGTCTATACTTTTGAGTTTAAAATGATAATATATGTTACAAAGCTAACATATGTTCATTGTAAACAGCTTGGAAAAGACTTCTGAACACCATCTGCTACATTTTAGAGTATATTCTGCTAGTTTGTTGTCTAGGCAAATATGCACTTTTTATACAAAAATGGTCTGATATTACCCATACTGTTTTGTAATACTTTTTCACAAAACAGTATGAGAATTTTTTTCATAGCACATTCCACTTTTATTTCAAAGTTGTTTAGCTTAGGAACAGAAAAGTCTGAATTCCAGGTAATTAAAAAATGCACTAGAATCTAAGCGATTGTTTTTCCAGATGCAATTGTTCAACGAATTTGTGAACGCGGTAATGGAATCACCACTAGCCATCCACCAGCAAATATCAGATTCTTAGCTATGCTGTGTATTTAAATATTTGTGGTACTAGAGTTTGAAAACACACACATGTTCAATGAGAGTTGCTAAGTGACTGAACAAAAATATC